AAGTCCGAGTGATTGAACATGTTCTGCAAGAACTTTCTCCCGACAAGCCGACAAGCCCACGAAGTTCGTCCTGCTGTAGTATGCAAATGTTCGTAGTACGGACAGGCTCATGACAGAAAATTTCCCACTCTTCTGCGACTAGGGTTCATCACACCCTGGGTTGAAACTCGGTTTTTTGACCACCGCACCAATGCGAAGCCTCAACTGAATTGCTGGACAGGGACACGTGGATCACTACTGGAAGGTCTACTTCCACCACCACTTCGACCCTAGGCGGCTGCGTGCTGTCAGCTTCGGAATGAGAATAGAGTATTGGAAGGCATACGTGTAGCACAACTATGACTATGCCAGGAACGCTGATTCGGGCTGTGTAGCTGGATGCGACCTGCACAGAAGCCCTCTGGTAAGGATCTCTGGCAAGCCGGGTCTACAGAGGAGAGATACATCACGTCAGACGGCAAACCCGAAACCGTCTTGAAGTCCTTCGAGCAGCCGCAGCTATTAGGCCCAATGCTACCACCAGACTGCCGCAGCGAACGGACTTTAGGACCAAAGTTTGAGACCTTGGGGCCAAGTCTCAAGTGCTTCATTTTTTTCGGAGAGGCCCGTGTAGTCTCTCACCGAAATCGAACTCTAAGCAGTCTCAATGCTAAGCGTTAAAAACCCGCCTAAACCCTTTGAAAACTCGAAGCGCTTTGATGTATGAGTCTAAACCCCAAAACCCCAAAGCTCCACAACCATAAACGCCCAAGCCCTCATCCCTAAACTCTAAATACCGCAAAAGCCGTAAACCCCAAACCCTGCATAGTAGCACTTACAGGACGAACCCGTATAGTTACACTAAAAGCTATCCCTAACGGAACCCCCACCCTAAAGCCTTATCTTTGAACCGCGCTGCTTTGGTGCGGCATTGCCCATCGACCTTCTGAGGCTCCCTAAGCATCTGGGACATGTCCAAAGGGTCGTGTCTAGGGCTTTCTGGTTTCTGTTACATGTGTAATAAAGGGCCTATTCAGGGCTTTACAGCTTATAGTTTCTTAAAATGGGTTTTATATTCTGACGTGTTTCTTTAGCAAGGGTTTTGTAGCTTTTAACATGGTTACATAGCATTATTTTGTGTAAATGGGGTTCGGGGTCTTGTCTTCGAAGGACGTGAATGAACAGGATTTCCGCATTGATTCTTGTACTCGCAAGCTGTGCCGTCCTCCCTGGCGATTGGGCCTCTTGTGGGTCAGCGGCTGCACGAAAGCATATAGCCTTGAAGCTGCAACCGGGGCGAAATCAGGAGAACACCAACCTCCGTCCAGCGAGTTCCAACCGGTATGTGACGCATTTCGATGTTCCATGTTGTCAAAGGCTAGGTCTGGCTGGCTTGCAACGGCAACGGCGCGCCGCCCTTGCAGCTGGAAATCCTGGACCGCAGGCTCTTCATTTCTTTTGAGACTAGAGGTTTTTGTGACCACGAATCCAGCATCGTTGCCAAGCAGGCAGCAAGTATCTCCCGCAAATTGCGGATGGCTGCGACGTCCAGCGCAGCTCAGTTAACTCAGCTTCAGAGATGCTTGTGCTTTCCGGGCCTTTCGCCTTCGGGTGCGTTGAGGATGGCAGCGAGGTCTGGCTCTCCTGCACTCCTCCTGGGAAAGGTGCGGCGGTGCAGCAAGCTTTCGCTTCACCGGAAACCTTGCTCCGCAGCACTATCCCCCCAGCAGCAAGATCAGCCTTTACAGCAACTTCGCCAACTTCGACAGGAAGAGTGTAGAGAGCAATCTCTGTAGCAGCTCGAATGCAGATCGCATTCTGCAGGCGACTTCACTGGAACATCGGCCGCCTCCCGAGAGCCCTCAGCAGCTGCGTCTCGGCGGGCCGCTGGCGAGAGGCACTGCTCTGCACACTTCGAGTCAGAGCGATGAAGGACATGCGAACTTCTTCAGATTAGTGCTGCTTTGATTTTGGAAGTGTGTCTCTATTTGTGCGAATGGTCTGAATGACACGGCGATTCCTGGATAAACTGTTTGTAAATTTATAAGTTCAGTTGGCCGAAAGGCGCGAAGAGACGGGTTTGATCCCCAAACAACAGGTTTGTTGAGATCTTCTCGATGCTTGAAGCCTCCGGATTTTCAGTAAAAGAAAGCTCTCAACAACATGGAAAGCTTAGAGTGTTTCTGCAACCTGTATCAGTAGACATCCAAGAGTCTGAGCCGTCAGGGTCTTGTCAACCTTGTCTAAGGCTTGGCATACGTTAGTTTTGTCCATGACAGACGAAACCCGCAAAATCAGACCAGACTATCGAGAGACTACCCATTGTGAAGTTCTGCAGGCTCTTCAGGCACTGTACTGGGTTGGGGAGCACAAGCTCACCCCAGATGCAGCCACGTTCTCGGCATCTGCTGTTGAGCGCTGTATTCACCACGAGAAGGGAACTTGTTCGTTTGCTTTTGAGATGCTGCAGCCGCAGCCATTATTCGGTCACTCCGAAGATCAGAATAGAAGCACGGGCAGAGGTAGCAATTGCAACGCTGCTGCTGCCATGTCCTCCGACGCCCTGACGGCCGCAGGGACATGCATGTTCGACGATGCAGCGATGGCTGCCAAGCTGCCTGCCGCAGTCGTTCAGCGCTTCAACGAGTGCTTGATCACAGGTGCTCCTACAACGGAGGCACTCGCTTTCCGATGTGCAGTGCAATATGAGGTATTGAATATGAGAATATGAGCCTTCCGAAGTTACTTGGAGGGTCAGGGTTTGTTTCACGAGAGCTGTGCAATGGAGACCTTCATTCGCAGGAGGACCAGAAGGCTATCTCTGAAGCGATCTTCGAGTGGGCCTGGGAGCGAGGGGCCATAGACTTTGCCCACTGGTTCTTCCCTCTTCGCGGCAGCTTGGCAGAAACCTAGGACTCATCCCTCTCGTGAGATGAGGGGGCCCATCGCTGTGGAGGGCTGCATGCAAGTTAGCTTGTGCGTAGAGGGCCATGAAGCGATCCAAGGCGGTGGCGGTGCCGTCGGCGGAATGTTAGGTGCCTTCAAGAAGGACACTCTGATGGACCTGCATGGAGTTCGGCTCCCAGTTCACGACGAAGCCGATGAAGGCTTGCCTGCCTCATGAGCGTCTCTTCCAAGGAGAGACGGATGGCTCCTCCTTTCCCAATGGCGGCCTGCGTGTCACACACTCTGCAGCTGCCTTCACCACTTGGGATAGATCATCCCCACCTTTTGTGATGGATTGCTGTCTGTATATTCCATGCGCTTTCATTACCCACTTCGGGAAGTGCATCGATGAGAAGACGCCACTGCTGCGGTCGATGGATGCCGTCAAGACCCACGGCCTTCGCTTGCTGCAGGCTATCGGCATAGGCAAGGATGCTCAGACAATGCACAGCTACCTGGGATGGGAGCAGGAGTTCTTCGTGCTGAGCGCCGCCCACTACAAGGCACGCCCGGACTTGGTGAACACCGGGCGCACGCTCTTCGGCAAGCTGCCCACCCGCCACCAGCAGGGAGACTTGAATTACTTCCAGGCGATCCCCGGCAAGGTACGGGAGCTTCTCGATGTTGTGCAGGCCGAGATGTTGAAGATCGGTTGCCCCATGGCCGTGAAGCACAACGAGGTGGCACCTGGACAACACGAGATGTCCCCTGTCTTCCGTACTGCGAATGTGTCTTGCGACAGCAACGTCTGCTTCACGGAAGTCATGAACCGGGAAGCCGCGAGGCTCGGACTGCAGGTTCTTTTCCATGAGAAGCCCTTCGCCGGTATTAACGGCAGCGGCAAGCACGCCAACTGGTCCATCGGAACTGACACCGGCTTGAATTTCTTCTATCCGGGAAAGAACGAAGATGGGGCCAAGCTGTACGTGACTGCCATTGCCTGCTTGGCATATGGGTTGGCGCAGTACAACGAAACTAGGCTCGTATGTCTTACTTTTTTCCAGCAGTTTGGTAGTTAATGTATTTTGTATATACAGCTGTGATGACTCTGGACGCTAGCGACTAGTAGTACCGCTCGCCGTTTTGTACCAATGTTGATTGCGGATGCATTGACAGCCGTTGTCTGTTGCCTGTCTTGCCACCCGACTGAACCGAGGAGATGGTGCGGTGCACCGTGGCCAGCGCTGGCAATGATCACCGCTTGGGAGCGCAAGAAGCGCCCCCGGCCATCATCTCTCTGTACCCGGGCCAGGGCTTCGAGTCCTTCGTGGATTCCGTGGTCAGCGGCGGCGATCTTCTAGGTCCGGGGCTCAAGATAACAGAAAAACAGCGAAATTCTCAGCAACAACTTGTGCCTGCCAGGTTGATTGATAGAGCGAGTTGTGTGTATGTGTGTGCGGCTTCCCAGTGCATACAAAATTTGTCTCGTAGAGCAAGACAAGCTGAGCTGCTTTCGCTGCACGGGTTGGAAAGCCTTGAAATGCCTTGAACTGAACAGGATACAAAGCCGAGAAGAAGAAGCAGGAGACGGGCTGCAGCTCTGCCATGCACATCGAGGCTAACGTCGAAGACCGCAATCGCACAGCCCCCTTCCCGTTCTGCGGCAACCGCTTTGAGTTCCGTGCAGTGGGCTCCTCCCAGAACTGCTGCCTCCCGATCATGGTCTGCAACGCGGTCATGTCTGCTGGAATGTCACACATGGCTTCCCTCATCGAGGGTGGCATGAGCCATCGTGATGCCGTGGCTCAAGTGTTTAAGGAGAACAAGCATTTGATCTTCACCGGCAACGGTTACTCA